ACTTGAGTTATAAACTCTTTGTTAAGGTAGGGGTCTGTTTCCAGTGAAGAGAATGTACTGTCCCAGGCTTCAGGGGTTTTGTGCAGCTGTTTTCAGAGATACTCCTAGGGACCTAGGAGAATTTTCAGTTCTTTCAAGGTGCTATGATCAAGGGCGAGGTGTTTACTCCTTTCCTGGCCTGTGCTATGGTCTATAAGTGACCACAAGCACTCTTTTCTGTCTTGCAACTGTAAGGAGGATTTCCTCTCCACAGCCACTACAAGCTCCACCATGCCAGCATTCCTCCTCACCCCAGGACCACCAACCAGAACTGTGACCCAGATCCAAGAACAGGCAAAGCAAGAGAATCTTGCACCAGCAGAGAGATCCCTGCACTCCCCTTCTGATCAGCCACTCAATTCCCCCTCGGTTTGTGGGCCAGAAGCTCAGCAGGCAACCGCCGTCCCAGGGCTGAGCTCAGGGAATGGGACTGGAACCCCACTGTGCTTCTCTCTCACCACCACAGAAACAGACTCTTCCCACTGACCTTCTAAGTTGTCTTTGACCTTCATGGGTTGAGAAGTCTGGAAACCACCACAGCTGCCCACGATTCAGTCCTCTAATGCCTGCTCCAGGCTTGCAGTGGCCTTCACACGCACACCAAACTGCGCTACTGTCCCACCCAGTGAGATATACCTTTCCAATCAACCATCCAGGCTGTCTTTGGCTGGAAATTTGTTTCACTCTGTCTTTCTGTGGGTTCTGCTGCTTTAGAATTTGTTTAGAGCCATTTTTTATAGGTATTTGGAGGGGTGTGGGGGAGAGCTCAAGCAAGTCACTGCTTTAACTCCGCCATCTTGGCTCCTACCCCCTCAGATGTATACTCTTAATATTGCATTGAAATCTTTTCTTTTCTCCAGGCAAATACCTTTCCCAAAGATTGACCTGACATAGTTTTAAGTCCTCTTATATCTCTAAGAAATAAAATCCAGTGTTTCCCAAGTGAAAAACACCACCACACAACCAACCTTACATTTTGCATTCCAGCAAAGAAAGGAAAAGAGGCAAGAAAATAGAGATATAGTGTAATTGGTGGGAGAGAGAAAAATTGCTTTTCTTCCTCCCTGTGATCAGAGTTCAAAAACCCTCAGTGAATATCTAATGGGGGAAATCTAGAGTCATCACTAAGAAATGAAAACCTGTAATGAAGCAAATTCATTACGGCAGACACATAGTAAAGTGGATAGAGTGCTGGCCTTGCAATCAGGAAGACTCATCTTCATGAGTTCAAATCCAGACACAGACACTCACTAGCTATGTGACCCTGGTCAAGTCACTTATCCCTGTTTACCTCCATTTCCTCATCTGTAAAATGAGCTTGAGAAGGAAATGGCAAACCACTCCAATATCTTTGCCAAGAAAATCCCAAATGGGGTTATGAAGAATCAGACACAACTAAAAAAGGACTAAAAAACAACAAATGAAGAAAAGTAAACAGAAGCTCCATGAACTACACAGCATTGTCCTTTCAAGGTTCTACACAGAACATGTTTTCAATTTTTAAAAAATGTTCCTCCAACATATATGGAAAGTGTGCCGGATTCAGAATCAGAGAACTTTAGTTCAAATCCCAGCTTTACTACTAATTACCTGTATCACCCTGGGCAAGTTCCTTTATCTCCGTGGGACCCAATTTTCTCTTTTGCAAAAATTTTTCTCTTTTTGGACTATAGGTAGCTACTGAGGCCTTTTGAGCTAGCAGTCTATGACCTCATTTAATCCTTACCACTCTAGGATAATTGCTATGTGTGGTACCATTATCCCTGTTTTGCACATAGGGAAACTAAACCGTGGAGGAGGTGTCCACCTTTGCCATTATCAACAAAACATCCATAGGACTTTACTAGGATTTGGGGGAAAAAAAAACAAAAAAGGCTGGAATTTGCTCCTGCTTTAGGAGTAAGAATCTCATTTGTAACAATACTCTGCCTTTATAGTGTGGCCTTTCAAGGTTTCATGATGGGTGTCTTGCTCTCATATATCTCAAAGATCACCTTCATGCTGGTGGAGGAAAAACATGACGGCAACACCCTAGGCCAGAGATTTGCCTGCCCTGCCTTTCTACATGTGTTCCAGGTACTAAGAAATATGGTATCAAATTACATGTTTCAAGAGTATAGGCTTTTGTAAATAACACTTAATGTCCTTCCTGTTACTAAATAGATGTAGGACTGTGGGGAGCCTGTTTTGTTCTAGGAAAATAAATTCACAAATGGAATTCTTCTGCCTTCAAGAGTGAACCTACCTGTAAAAGTGAGTCATCATTTACTTCCTTTTTTTATAAAGGAGGCTTCCTGGGAAGGATTTCCTAAGTCACCACCAAAAAAATTTGTTCAGTAAATTAATGTAACATTTAAAGCTTTTAAAATAGAGAGTAATGAAATATTATTATGCTATAAGAAATGAGGACAAAGATGGTTTCAAAGAATCATAGGAAGACTTGTGTGAATTGATACAGGGTAAAGAAGTAAAGAAAAACAGAAGAACAATTTGTAAGCTCAATAATGTAAAGTAATCAATTTTTAAAGAACAGTTTTAAGAACTCTGATCAACTAAATGATCAACCATGTTTCCAGAGAACTGAGAAAGAAAGACACAAAGACACTGCTCATGTCATGACAGAGAGAAGGTGGCCTAATATGAAGAATAAGAAACACATTTTCAGGTATGACCAATGTGGTAATTTGTTTTTAGTGTTCTTTGGTGATATAAGGTTTCTGTATTTCCCAAAAGATGGAGGCGGGGAAGGGAGATAGGCAAAATGGAGAAAAAGGAGAAAAAAGAGAAAAAATGACTATATTAACTTTGAAATTAAAATACACAAAAATAAAACTTTTAAAAATGCCTAAAAGATATTAATACTATGTGTTTGGTGATTGGGCAAGGTAAGCCAATTTTTTTAAATAATTTATTTAATGGAGTACAAAAACTGTCTGAAAAGTGATGGAATGGATGCTGACAACCCCACCGTTGAGTATTTTGCCAATCCACTGCATGCTAAGCCTTTGCATTTACACCTGTCAAACCTAGGTTGGTCAAAGAAGCTGCCACTGTCTACGGATTGCAATTACACTTCTAGCCACCCAGGAGTTAGTGCTACTCCTAATCCGGAAGGGAAAAGAACCATCTTTCATCACGTGGTCTGAGTTATGAGGTACCTCAGAGGGTATCTAGCCCAACACATACCTAGGTATCTGTCTACAAATGTTCACAAAAAAAGATTAAACTAATCTGTATGTGAAGGCTTTGAACAAGGTGAAATTCACTATCTGCTTCAGCAGTCCATTCTACTGGGGGATAAACCTCATTCTCAGGAATTCTTTTTCTTTACATTGACTTAAACTTCCTTTCCAAAACTTCCACTAACTGTTGCCTTCTGGATCCAAGTAAATCTAGTCACAATTCTGCCTGTCAGCTCTTCATATACTTCAAAAGAACTATTGTATTCAACTACCCCAAAAACAAACAAACAAAAATTATTTTCTCCTGACTAAAAATCTCCACACTTCTTTCAACTGATCCTTGCAGGGCATGGTCTCAAGACTCTTTATTATGTTGATCATTTGCCTTTTGGATACTATACATTTGTCAATATCCTTCTTAAAGTGTGGCTTTTTATTATTTTCATATTTTTGTTATCTTTCTTTTTATTATTTGTAATATATACTATGTTACAGAAAGGATTATTTTGTTCCATAAATTAAAAATGAAATAAATTTCTAAAAATGTGGCTCTAAGACTGAACATAAATATTCCAGATGTGGTTTGATCAAAGCAGAATGCAGTGAGATTCAAGGCTACACATTTTTCTCAGCAATATAATATGTGGTAGAGAGGATAGCTATTGCTATGCCACAAAGCAATAGTTCCATGTAGAGACGAAAAAAGGGGACCAATGGCAAAGCTATGGTACAGTAACAAGACATCAGAAGTCTGCATAAGGCCCATTGACAGCGGGTGAAAAAGACAGAGTTTTATAATCAGGATGCCAGGTAAGGACCCAAGAATGCCAAGGCCAAAGACCAGGGCAAGATCAGTCCAGGGCAAACAACAGCACGAACACAGATCAGGTTGAGAAGTGGAACAACATTCTAGACAGATAAATGGGAAAGCAATTACCAGATTATGAGTAGCTCCTGAAACCTAAAGATGAGAGTAGGTAAAATTTCCTGTAAAGGGGAAATTTTAAAGCTAGCAGTTGAAGACAGATGCTAATACAGAATAGCAGAGGAAGGGGCAGCTAGGTGGTGCAGTGGACAGAGCATAGGCCCTGGATTCAGGAGGACCTGAGTTCAAATCTGGCCTCAGACACATAACACTCATTAGCTGTGTGACCCTTGGCAAGTCACTTAACCCCATTGCCTAGCCAAAAACAAATAAATGAATAGAGTAGCAGAGGAACAAAGTCTCAAGCCTTAATATTTATTGAATTTTTACATTCACCTTAGCCCACCCAGGATGAAAACAGGCCTATGAAACCTATAGTCACTCTAGGAAACCCTCCTGTAGGTCCACACTGGCCTGGAGAATCCTCCAAACCTCCAGTAGAACAAAGCTATTCTGGCAATCATTTTAAACAGGACATATACCTCATCTCTATCTTACTAATAGTCTTCTAACCCTTGAAAATGTCTCAGTATAGCATTGTGTAGTGGAAATTGTGCTAGACTGGAAGTCAGGAGACCTGATTTCTAGTCTTGGCTGGATCACTAATTGTTTAGTCTTTACCAAGTAATTTCCCTAAATTTTACCTCAATTTCCTCATCTGTAAAATGAAGAGGTAGGGCTAGATGATCTCTTAAGTCCCTTCTAGCTACAGAATTCTATGATTCTATTATCAGGTTATTATTAATACATGGAGAAAGTTCACATCTATAGAAAAGTACTTTGTAAATTTTAAAGTTCAATAAAATATGAACAATTTCTAATAAAAACAACAAAAACAATGGATAGCTACTTACCCATTCTCAGCAGCACTAACAACATATGGCTGTTTTTCAAATTCTCTTGCTTTTGCCAAACATGTTACAGAAGCAGTATGACCAAAGAGAAGCTCTTTAGCTGAGATCTACAATTGGCAACACGAAGTTTGTTAAATAATTATATCTGGTCATAATCAATAAAAACATACTAGATTTTTACACAATGGTGGTGCTGTGGATAGAGCATCAGGCCAGGCATCAGGTAGATTTGTGTTCAAATCCAGCCTCAGATATTTCCTAGCTGTGTGACACTGGGCAAGTCATTTAACCCCTATTTGCCTCAGTTTCCTCATCTGCAAAATAGAGATAATAATTGCATCTGCATCCTAGGGTTGTTGTGAGGATCAAATGAGATAATCATCATAAAGTGTTTAGCACAGTACCTGGCACATAGTAAGTACTACATAAATGTTAGCTATTATTATTAATGTCAAATATCAGAACCCTTCTATTAGTCCTAATACTGGGAAATATCAATGTTAACTATTTTGTCTTTAGTTCATGTAGTTAGATTTAAAAAAGTTTAATATGACCTATAGCATATCTAAATCCATATTATGAGCTGCCTCATAATGGGGTCCTAATGTATGCTTTCGCATTTGTAAAGAAATATTGTTTTTATCACTCTTCAAACCTTAAAGCACTATGTAAATGCTAGCTATCATTAGTTATTTTTCTGTGAGAGTAGGTTTACATCAACATTTCTGTTATATTCAGTCTCTGTCTCTGCTCATTAAGTATGACTACGCCTTTTTTCTTTTTTTAGTCAATCTTGTGATTTTATCCATAAATTCAGCTGCCAATGAGGAATTTTTAACAATATGGATTGGCAACTTTTCTGTAACTTAAAATACTAGAGAGTTGTCTGTTACTTTTCCAAGGTCACAAAGCCAGCATGGGTCAGATTTGGGACTTAAACTTGGGTCTTCTAGGCTCCAGGGGCAGTTCTCTATCCACTATTCTATATTACTTCTTGGATATATCAATCAATGAAAGTAATATATTATGATATGTTTATGTATATATATATTTCACAATTTGATATGTTTACATTTTAACACTTGTAAAGCAAAATAAAAACTACAAACTCATCTCTATATTGCCATTATGACTTAAACAACAAATATCAAAAGAAAACATTCAACCTAAGAATGAAAGTCTAAATGATATTTCATTAAGATTCCCTATTTCTCTATTTTAAGAAACATTTTCTCACTCAAATATTCAGATAAAATCTATAACACTATAATTTCATAGGTAATTACCATAATTGTTTCCAGTGGAGGCAGTACAGTACATGGAAATCTCCCTAGCTGGGGAGTTGAAGGACCTGCATTTAAATTCCACCTCTGATTCTTGCTACCTGTGTGACTTGGAATAAGTTACCTAACCCCTTTGGTCGCATTAGCTCATCTGTAAAATGCAGGTGAAGGGAAGTGTTATAAGCTCCAAGGTCCCTTCCAGCTCTAAATCTATGTTCCTATGAAATCACTTAGGTAATTATTCCATGTACCAAAGAAACCTACCTTCAGTATTAAAAAAAAGGAAGGGGGAGAATATAAAAGGGAGTTGTCAGCATATGATCCCCTTAAATAATGAAAGATTCCAAATTTCAGAATTGTAAGGGTCACCTTTTCCTTATGAACCAGTATTCCCTAAGTCCTTTATCTAATCCAGAAAAATATTTGAAATGATGCTATCTCAGCCACATCCATGAAAAGATTAGAATCACTGTGTTATTTACAATGATCAAAGTTAAGATTTAAGCCCAGTCACCCTATTAATGTCATATCTTTTCTGTGGAAGCCAGGATACTCTTACAGATAAAGGCACACACATTCTGCCAACAATCACACTTACAGGACCCATTCACCTTTGGATTTATTCCTTCTAGCAGTTTACTGAAACTCAGCCTGAGCAGTGGATCAGGGCACATCACGAGGAAAATTTGTTCTTTTCTACTAGTTGACTCTTAGGGGACAAACCACTCTATGAGCTAAGTAAGAATCTGACACTCAGCTGCCATTCAGAAGTAATCCTCTATCTGTCAGCAACCTCGGACAAGTCACACAACTTTACTTAGGATCACAGATCACAGATTTAGAGCTGGAAGTGACTAAAGGGCACTTTATCCAACCCCTTCCCTTTATAGATGCCGAAAGTGAGGCCCAGAGATAATAAGAGATGTCCCTGAGATCAAACAGGTTGATAGAATCAGAGCCAAGGTTTGAACACAGGTTTCTCTTGACCCCAAATCCTTCATCCTCTATGCTGCAACAATTGCCCATCAGTTTACTTCTTCTCAGGCTCACAAGAAAAGAAAGAGTTTCTTTAAATAACAAATCTGCCATATTATTAAATAGCAAATTATCCATATTAGATACCAAAATATCTGTTACATATTTAAAAGTGTTTTGTTAATCAAAATTAACAGTAAATTACAGATTCCTCTGAGATAGAGGTGTCAAAACACCCCTTTAGAGTACAGCTGAATGAGATTAAAATGTAGTTGCAAGTAGTTAGCAAAATAAAAATGTAATAGAAAGATAATGTTAACATATAGTTTTCTAAGTCAATATTCCCACTCATCCCCATCCCCCTGCTTGGAACCATAGGTTTCTAATTGAGCTTGACATCACTTCATTATTTCAAATTTCCTCTACAGATGACCAATGAGGCATCAGGACTACAGCATCTAACTCATCCTTCTTCTACCTGAGTGATTAAGGAACTCAGATGCTAAACTTAGCTCTGGGCAGGGCTTCCATTTAGCCTCTGGAACTGGGCACCTGGAAAGGCTTTTGGGCCATCCTGGCCCTTAAGATAGGTAACAGCTAATGAACAAACATTTTTTTAACAACCTATTTCATTCCAGACGTTGTACTAGGCTCTGGGGAGAATAAAAACACAAAAATGATATAGACCCTGACTTCAAAAAACTTTCATTCTACTGGGAGGGAAACAATATGTTCACATGTAAGTAGATATAAGATCTATACAAAATAAATCCACAGTGATATGGGGGTAGGAGTCACTAACAACTGATGGAATCATTAAAATGGGCAACACTTTAAGCCGAGCCTTGGGGAGAGTAGGGGATAGAGATGCCCAAAGATATTTCATTAACCCAAGTGAATTTCTAATTGGCAGAATTTCAGATGGTGTGAAGAGAAACTCTGGGAATTATGGTTGCAGAATACAATAAATATTAGCAGACATGGCCAAAGTGCTTACTTATTTCGCCTAAATACATTTTTTTATTGTAAAGAAGTGGGCTGCCTTATGGATGCCCCCTATCCCAAGTAATTGGGGGAAAAGATAGTTTTTTAAAAGTACCAATACAACATTTGGAAGTGACAAAGCAGCTCAAACACCCTCTCATCTATAAGAAGACTTTCCTGATCCTCCCAACTGCTAGGATTCCTCTTCTCATACGACCTTGTATTTAACGACTTTGTATTCTCTTTATATTTATTTTGTATGTATTTATATATGCAGTTGTTTCCCCCTTAGAATGTAAGCTCCTGGGGCAGTTAGGTGGCGCAGTGGCTAAAACTCCAGCCTTGGAGTCAGGAGTACCTGAGTTCAAATGCAGCCTCAGATACATGACACTTACTAGCTGTGTGACCCTGGGCAAGTCACTTAACCCCAATTGCCTCACAAAAAAAAAAAATGGAGTGATGTCTATTCTCCCTGTGTTTACATTCTAACAGGGGAGACAAGGACACAGATAAATGCTAATGCACTAAATATTACCCACTTGTTTGTACACTAAGCAGAGCTGTGGGAGTAAAAGCTCAAACAAGAATGTAAGCTCCTTGTGACTAGGTTTTGTTTAATTCTTGGTATTTTTATCCTGAGCACCCAACACAGTTGCCTGGCACACAGTAGTCACTTAATGAATGTTTTTTGAATGAATGAAAGGCTCCCTGATCTTTTATTCAGAAATTTATTGATAAGCACAGGCCAAGCCTAAGGGAGACTTCTCTATATATGGCTTTTAGAAATCTTACAAGAGAACTATTCAATGACAAGAGATTTTAATTAATTATACTATAAAATAGAATTACAATTAATTGTTAATTTAGGTTTTATAGTGACAAACTTTGAAGGCTAAAAATAGTCTTTGTTCTTTAAAAGGCTTCTAAATGAGGGCAGTATACTTTAAGTACATCATTTGTTTAAACGTTCAAATTGGATGAGGGGGTCCATGGGAGTTAAGCAAACATCTATTGCAATATGTTAAATGTTTATGACTTGGGATGAGGACAATTAATTGCTAATCAATGAGCTCAATCCTAGGTGAGGTCAGGTTTTGGAATAGTAGAACGACAATAGTAAATTGGATTTAGAGATCTTCAAAGTGGGTTGTAAAGATCCCAGACAAGTCTGGCTAGAGAAATAGAAAGAAGGCCAAATTGACAGGAATACCTAGATAATTAAGATATTATTCATTGAGCTAATAGTGGTTTTCAAGGAGACCCCTGCTTTGTTTCAATTAATGAACTATAATTTTCAGAATTATAGTTCTAGGCCTCCAATGCAGTTACTTTAACTAATAATTCAGGATATAAAACAATACAACTCTAGGCAGTTAACTTGATTAAAATATTTTTGAAACCTTTATTCAAACAACATTTTCAAATATGATCATGAGATAGATTGAGAAACTATTTTCCATCCAATTTAAAATTAAAATTGATTCTACTAAATGTATATATTCTAAACTCTGTTTACTGCTTCACTTAAGCACCTTATTAGCTGCCATTGGGCTGTTCACATGGTGTTTCATCTAAGTACTCATTAGTCAAATTTTTAAAATGCAGATCCACTTCATCAGCAATACTAATAAAAAGAAAACCATCTGTATTTTGTGGCACCCACTGACCTTTAATTCAGAGGAAAGATTCCAGAGACATAGTTGACCCTCTTGGCTCCCTGTAACAATACTATGTTGATCATCTGTAATCATTATGGCAGTGATGCTGTGAGAAGGTGCCTTTTTCCCCCATAATGCCACTGCCTGCAGAAAAGTCTTCATAATGTACAAAATCTGGATTGAAAAAAAAAAAACGGTAGTAAGAACAAAAGGCCATAACATTTACTCTTTTGGGGAAGTCCAATTCAGGTTCTGATCACAAAGTTATCTGAAAACAGTACTAAAAAACTAAACTAAAAATTCCTCACTTTCTCCTAACACCATAAATATATTGGTAGAGAATTTTGAACTCTCGCCATGTAGCCAGCCTATCTTTCAATGACACTATATCACAATTTTTTTAGACAGTTATGACTCATTCACCCACTTTTAATCAAAATCTTGAGAAACTGGACTGATGGAAAATAGGGGAATGTATAATCCTAAAGAGAAGACAAAGCTATTCAAAGAGATAAGAAAAAGTTACCCTAACATGGAAAACTGCCTTGAGAGGTATTAGGTTCACCTCATTGATCTTTAAGCAAAAGCTAGATAGATGTCTACTTGATGGATATTTTGTAGAGGGGATTTTCATTCAGATATGTGATGGAATAAATGGCCCCTGAGGTATCTTTTAAGTATAACATTCTATAATTCTATGAAACTAACTTATCTGTTTTCCAAATGCAATCAGAAGTCCATGTCTCTAAAACATGCTGTAACTAACCCATTATATATCTAACCCTTCATCTTGCACTCCAACCTAGCCTCAAAGCCAACTGGACAGCTGCCAAGTCTGGCCTAATTCCTGCTTGTATGATCTTTGGGACATTGTTAACTACCTTCTATGTAAAAAAAAAAAAACTCCCTACATAGATACCATCATTTTTAAAAATGTATCTATTAATTGACCAATCAATAAGCATTTATTAGGTATTTAGTATGTATCAGGCACTGTGTATATCAGGCACTGGGGATACAAATATAATGAATGAAACAATCCCTACTTGAAAGGATTTTCCATTTTAATGGTGAAGGTGACAAGTACATACATAGGTATATACAGAAAGATTTAATAAAGATCTTTTTTTTCCTCTAAGTGAAGCAATGCTCTCTGCATCTTATTTTAAAGATGCTGATAATTCCTGGTAAGAGTAATCAGATAAACTTTCCTCTAGGGTAGGAAACCACTCATAGTAGCCATTCATTGCCCATCCCCACAGTAGTTTTCAACAACAATATACCGAAGTATAGACATCAGAATACATATTGGTGAAGAGTACTCATGCCTATAAAATCACCAGTGACTGAAGGATTGAAGAATAATGTGTTTAGTTACATACAAAATCATAATCTATGTATCTCAACTAATAAGAATATTTGAACTCTTTCTAAATTAAATTCTAGGTATAAAACATATTTTGAATACTAACAAAAATTACAGCTGTCAGTAATATTTCTTGATCTCTTTCCTAGCCTCTAGTACTTTATCTATCATTAAAAATCCATATAAATTTGTTTGATGATCAAAAGATTCTGTACCTCCAAATCTCCAGCTTCCAGGATCAAGTCAGTATTTAGCTATAGCCCACACCCATTCCAATTTGGAGAGATCTATTTAACTCTTTCTAGGAAATAAAGAAGGAAGGATCTGAAGGCTTGGTTCCACTCTCAGGGAGGTGAGGAAGGAAGGTGGCATTTTAGGATTGAACACATCCAAGGAAGGGGAGTTTTAAAAGAATGAGAGCAGTAAACAATACCAAATGGATGTCACTTACAAGTTCCTAGAATTAACCATACTTAGTTAATTAAAATATATTGGTCATAAGTTAGAGAGACAATAGCAATTCTTTTCAGGCATCCACAATACCAGTTGAGAATATAAATCAATAAGCATTTATTAAGTACCTACTAAATGAAAGAGTGCTAGATGCTGGGAGAAGAGGCTGGGGTCTCAAAGAATATAGTTCATTCTCTCCAATTCAATATTTTGTTCTTTCTTGGGTCTTTCTTATTCCAAGGTTAGCTACCTAGCCACTCAATCACACTGGTTGCATATATCTTAATAGTTAGTAATAAGAGTCTGTTATATCTAATTATTTGCATGGAGCTTTACTTCTGTCGTTCAGTTAGTTTACTTGTATCTATTGATGAATAAACTGTGAGCTCACCTGACCAAAGATGCAGAGCTAAATGGGATCTGAGAAATCATTGGCTCCAACTCCTTTATTTTACAGAGAAGAAAACTGAAACTCAGAGGTTAAATTACTTACTCAAGGTCAATCTATCACAGAAACTCAGAATTGGAAGACACTTCAATCTCACTATCTAGTCTAAATGTACAAGAGTCCCTTTAGAAAATGAAAAGCAAACAAGGATACATCTTGCCTTTGACCAGATACCTCTCATGAGAAGAAGGCAGCCCTTTACCTCCTTTACCTCCAGAGGCAGCCCGATTCGTTCTCGTTTTGGATAATTCAAATTAATTTTTTTCCTTCTATTAAGTCTCAATTGTCCTGTTTGCAATTCCCACATATTGTTGCTGCTTCTGTCCCCTCTTCCCATCCCCATCCAATAGATCTTGGATGTATCTTGTTTGCATAATTATTTTCATGTTGCCTCTACCATTATTAGATTGTAAAACCTGAAAGGAAGGACAGGGTTTCATTTATTTATTTATTTATTTTGCTTTTTCTGTATCCAAAGTACTTGGCACAGTGCCTGGAACATAGTAGGTGCTTAATAAATGCTTTCTGACTTGACTTTTATAAGTGATACCCTTTTAGGCATTTGAAGGAAGTTCTAAAGCCCTGTTTCTTCTCAGCCTTCTCTTTTCAAGGGTAAACATCCCTAGTTATTTCAAATGAATACAGTAAAGCGTGATCCTGAAGTTCTTTTGCTAACCTAATAACCTTTCTTTGGATACTCTCAAGATTCATCAATGACCTTTCTAAAATGTGGAGCCCATGGGGCAGCTAGGTGGTACAATGGATAGAGCACTGGCCCTAGACTCAGGAGGACCTGAGTTCAGATCTGGCTTCACACACACAACACTTACTAGCTGTGTGACCCTGGGCAAGTCACTTAACCCCATTGCCTAGTAAAAAATAAAATATGGAGCCCAGAATGGAGCATAACACTCCATATGAACCCAGACTGTCTAATTCCAAAGGTAGCGAGACTCTTTTTACTAAACCACATTAGCATTATGCCATCCCAGGAGGCATATATGTCTATAGAGTAACCCATAATCATTGCACTTTTCTATGTAAAGATTTGGAAGCACCAGCAATGGCCTGTCACCTCTTGTTACTTCCTACTGTCCTGTTGTCACTGAAATTTGTCCAAATGCCTATGTAGAGGTTAACTAACTTTATGTAGTAGAGACAGGCATTTTCTCTTAAGACTAATGATGATCCAGCAAAGAAGACTGAGTCAAAGCAGTCTGTTTAATACATGGAAGAGAACCAGGATAGAGCAGTGTTGTGGAAGCCAACGGTAGAGAAAGCATCTAGAAGGACGAAGCATTTGACATAGTTAAAAGCTGCAAAAAGATTTAATAGGTTGAAGACTGAGGAAAAAGATTCTAGAAAGGCAGAATTCTTGATAAGGTCTATTTTCCTTTATTTTTGTGATCTGAGAAATTGTGTTACAGAAAGTCCTCACCAACCCCCAAAGACTATTAGGATTAGATTTAAATCTGAATGGATCTGAGAGGTCCTCTAATCTAATCCCCTTATTTTACAGGGAGGGGGATGTGAAAGGAGAAAAAGAATAAAGTAGGAATAGTGAACTTGGAAGCATGGGGACTTGAGGTCGTGTAGTTCTGCTACTTTCTACCTTTGTGATCTTGGGCAAGTTACTCTACCTTAGGACTCTCTGGGCCTCAGTTTCTTCATTTGTTAAATGAGAGTTGGATCTCTAATTTCTGTTGTTATTCAGTCATGTTCAACTCTTTATAACCCTATTTGGGATTTTCTTGGCAATGATACTGGGGTGGTTTGTCATCCCCTTCTCTAGCTCATTTTACAGACAAGGAAACTGAGGCAAACAGGATTAAGTGACTTGTCCAGGGTCACACAGCGACTAAGTATCTGGGGCCAGATTTGAACTCAGAAAGACGAGTCTTCACGACTCCAGGCCTAATGTTCTATCCACTATGCCACCTAGCTGTCCCACGTCCCTTCCAATTCCAGATCTATGAAACTGCAGAACTGAGGCTCAGAGAATTGAAGCCCCTTGTGGTTAAGATCACACAGGCAATACGTAGCAGAGCAGAAATTCAAACAAAGGGCCCCTGAATCTTTGGGGGATTTTACAAATCCCATGCCCTTTCTACTTTATATCATAGTGCAAGGGGGTTCTGGACCAGTTCAAACCAGCTCCTGGGAAATGATTGTTTAAAATGTCATTATGAGCATTTACACCTCAGAAATCAACAATCCTGAAAATAAGGGCTTGATATATTGTTTTGCTGATTAGTTAGGCTTAAGAAAGTGATAGGGAATATGTTAATAAGAAAGATTAAATGTAAAAGCGTTTTGTGCACACATTTCTTTCCCACCCCCAAGCCCATTGTTAAACATTTATCAGCATAGCCCTGACACTGCCTCTCTAAAATTTTATGACTTCACTCTAATATAAGAAACTTCATGTACCATAAAAGAAAATACTTGTATATCATAAATAATTTTTTTTTTGCATGGAGAAATACATGCATTTATAAGAACTAATGTATTTCTCACTGAGTCCCACTATCCCACCTCATCTTCTATTCTATTCTACCTATCTGAATACCTCAAGCAACTTATAGGAGTGGTCACACCTTTGACTTAACTATCACCCTAAAGCAAGAATTCTTAACCATCTGAAATTCTGGCAAAGCCCATAGAGTACTTCTTGGAATCCTGTTTTTAAATGCTTGAAATAAAATAAAATACATGGGAATACAAAGGAAATGTTAAAGTATAGTTATTAAAGTATTTTTATGAAAAAAGTTCAGGAGCCCCAGGATAAGAATATTGTTTACTTCCATGATCTTGAACACCACAATGTTCACAATCTCCTTTTTTGCATTTCTTCCTCTGTCTCATTCTTTCTTTAGTATGTGTGTGTATGTATATATACAAACACAT